ATGAAGAGCCTTCTTGAGGAAGAGTGGCACTAGGCCAGGAAAAGTCGCAAAGCTTCTTCGTGTGCTTGTTAGGATTGCAAGCTGTTGAATTTACTCGAGGGGCCGAGGAACTGGGGGCAAGGAGGTGGGGGAGGGGGGGGAGTGAAGTTTCTTTGAAGGGTCTGAACCATCCGAGGCACCCAGGCTGACGGGTGGGGTTCATTCCCAAACCCCAGCGAACCGATAGCTTGAGGGGCCAAGGTGGTGCCACTGTACCTGAACCAGGTCCTGCCCAGAGATGACTTAATGATACCACATGCGCTTGAAGTTGCACTCTCTATGCTGTAGGGAGCATGCATGCAATTCTGTAAAAGTTGCAAGAAGACACTTTGAGCTCATTTGTACAAGGGTTAAAGAGGCAGTGGTTTTGTTGGGTACGCCTCCCTCCGAGTTATCTTGTGTACAGCTCGTGAATTGAGTTGGTGGAGAACCCCTGCGTGATTGATCTGACCCGCTGTCGCCCCTTTGCCCCCAGCTGTTTGTTGGGAGCAGTATAAACATCTTGTGGATGTTCTGAAGGCTCCAGTTCTGTTTTCACAACAAAAAGCTTTTGTAGACATGGATCAGATTACTTCACAGGAATGGGATGGAGCTGTATATAACTTTGTTTTTATGTATCGTGCTTTAACAGTGGATCTGGGAAAATCTCTAGCTTTGGCGTGAGTCAGAAAGCGGAATTGGTTGGCAGAATTTTTGGGCTTAAACTCCATCATAGACTTCAGCTTCCTGTTTACTGCTTATTCCTTTTAATACCCCTAATTGCTTTGCTACATTGCAGACAGTGTAAGGGCAGCTGGTTTATGAGTCAGCTACAGCGGCTTTTAATTGGTAAGACGTGGAAACCGGGCCACTGTTCCCCTGTGCTTGGTCCTGTGTGCTCTACTGTAGCTTTCTAGCTCCTCCATGTCAGTGTACAACAGGGTTTTCTGCTGTACTAAGAAAGCCAGCCTTAGGCAAAGAAAAACCCACTCTTAACGCACATTGCATGAAGAACTGAAAACCACTAAGTGCCTTTTATTATGGCTCTCATTAAATGCTCCTTTGTGCTCCTACGGGTTTTTGAATAGTGCCTAGTTGTTACTAAGACAGCGGAGCAGCGTAGTATTTCATTATGCAATTTCAGTGCATTGTAAAAGGCTTTGGATGATTTCCTTTAAAGACCTCCTGTGTGAGGTGAAAACCATGGCTGCATCATTGGCCACGTGCAAAGGAGCCAACCAGGATGTGGCTCCTCTCTCTAGGGTGTAGAAAGTCCCCAGCAGGAGAGAACTTGCACAGCGTGAGCAAATGGAAGTGCGGTTTTGAAGTCATTGCAATATGAAGGTAAACACAGTGTTGTGCTCAGGAACGTCACCGTTGATAAAAGATACTTAGTCTTCCCTGCAGCTGTAATGGATCCTGGTGGCTGGAAATATTGGCACCAATTTTGTTTGCAAGTTTGCAGATGTCTCTTTAGTTATCTTAATGTAAACCATGGAAGCTGGAGTTCAGCCCATTCTTTAGACTCGGCCTTTCTTCACTTCAAAACATCAAAGAAGGATTAGCCGGTTGGCATTTGTGTCTAAGTAAAAGTTCCCATAATTGACAAATGTCATGTGGAAGATTACTATCTCTTGTGTGAGCTGGTGTGTTTACAATACATACTTCAGCTTTGTCTCTTGAAACTACCGCAGAAACGTCTTAGTTGCGCTTTTTTTAAAAGCATGACCTATTGCTGTCTTTTTTTTTTCCCTTCACATGCAAATGAGATTGTGCAGATGTGGTGTGAATTTCCATAATGACACACTAGAAGGTAGAAACGCACGACAGTTTGCCCAAAGGCTTGAGCTGTGTGATGTTGAATGGTCATATTGTGACTTTCACAGCTTCTTGCATGTTTCAATAGAACGGTATTGTAATCCAGTGCTGAAACAGTCTCAGAAGATGTTTGTACTGAAGTGTTTTCACTGTTGTTAGGCCAAAGTGAGTATTCAGTAAGGAAGCAGTGAAGGCTAGATTTTGTATGTAAAATAGTCTATATACGGCAGAATATTATGTGCTGAATTTACCTTCAAGCACATAACACTCTCTACCTCCACAGACCCAGGCAGGTCACCAGTTTAGAAAAGGTTACTACGTATTTCTTTTTGGTTTTTAAACGGAGGGGAAAAACAGCTTCTTCTGTTAGGAGGTGAAACGGGACAAAATATTCTTTTATTAGGAAAGTGTCCAGAGGCTAGAGAGCTTTTACTAATCTCAGATGCAAGAAGCAGCATATTCGTTTGTTCATACTGTAATCCATTGTTTGCGATCTCTTTGTGGTCTTTGTGGTGAACCAGTTGATTTCCTTTAGGCCTTCAAAGAATTCTGAACTTTTCAGATAACATCATAGTGGTTTCTCGCAGACTTTCATTAGTACAGTTTCATTCAGAATTTAGACTAGAAAAAAAATTGAAAGATCTTTTCCATAAAGTGGAAAAAAATAATTATCTGGATGTTCTATATTAATAAAATCAGGAGAGCTGTGAGCTCTGCAGTATTGCTTGCTTTGGTGTATTTAATTCCTTCCCAGTCTCTTCTCAGGTCTCTGTTGGGAGGTATTTGTGTGGCGTTGTGACTGACATGAGAAAGATGGCCCTTTGCTTTTGAGCAAAGGCCCCAGATTAAATTAAAGCTGTCTCCTGAGTGCCGGCACAGGTTGCGAGCACTGAGCTTGTTGGTTTCCACACGGTAGACACCTCTGGCAGACAAAAAGCCTTCTTCAGGTGCAGTAATGTTTGCAATTTGTGATTGTCAGGCCGGTGGAACACTGGGACTGAGTCTGGGCCAAAGTTTAGAAAATTACCTTCATGATGTTTGGTTTGACACTGTACTTTTTAACTTTCCTCTTTTAGCCAGCGATATTTCTGTTGTGCCACCAGTTCTCCAGTATATCCTTCATGAGCAGTATTGACCTGGACCCTAAACTCCAGTACAGATAGTTGGGGAATTTTCCAGTAACATGAGAGGAACAAATGCCATTCATTGTCCATCGGTGTGAACAGTGGTGCTTATTTCTGTAATCTAAGTCCGGGAGGAAAGGTGTGTCTGCAAGTTTTTCTGGGTCTTTTAAAGCACCCAGCACGTGAACTGCTGGGTGAAACTGTTAAAATGGTCCACTTAAGCCAACAATGAGCCGATTCAGTTGCGAGCACTGCTGCACTGGAAACCCACAGACACGCAGGCCCCCCACTCCAGTACCGGGGATCCGCGCTTCAGACCAAAGCAGTGTGTGACCCGTCGGCATCGGTCCCTTTGAGATGGGAAGGTGGCACTGGCGTGAATTGTGGAGCTGGGGCTTCTGCGCCTACAAGACTCCAGTTGCAGGAGAGGGAAGTTAGTGCCGCAGTTCTGATCGTAAGCAATCCTGGTTTGCCGGGAAGTTTGCCGCGTGGTGGGGGCTTTCCTTTCTGTGCCGAAAACAGACACGCTAACGTTCCCCCGAGCTGCCCGGGGGAAGTGCGCTTTGAAATGGAGCAACACAAACCGAAAAGAAAAGTTCTCTTTATAATGACTGTTTTTGGAATGGGTGGGGAAAAAAAAGGATTCTAGCAAGGACTAGGATGCTCTTTAGGACCCTGATGCTCTGTTTTTTGGGTTGCAGAGCTGACAGTCTGTGGTGGGGAGGGAACCACGGAAGTCAGACTGGACATTTCTATTGAAAGGTTGCTGATCGAGCAGGTGCTCCTAAAACCACAGAGTGTGCTCTTATTGTGGGACCGGTCTGCGTTTTTGGCCATTCTCCCAGAGCTTATCCAGTTGCACGCTGTTATGCAACACTGAATAATAGTGACATACCAATCATGCAGTCAAACCCTCTAACTCTTAGTACCTTGCAGTGCGCACAGAAGTAGATCACTAAAATCAGACACTTAAAAACAGATAATTTAAGAAAAAGTCACCTGCACAGCTCTGGTAAGACAGGTGTCTTGTACATTTTTACAGTCTTCAGGTGCTTCTCAATAGCTAATATATTGTTGATTCTTTTCAGGTGCACTGCTGGTTGTGGAAAATATGTAAAAAGTGTTGGGCATTTTTAAAACTCCAGAAATAGCCTACATGTGTTGGTCTTAATATAAGGAGTATTTTATACAATACATTTATGTATTAATAAATGGTAGTTTTAACTTTAATAGTTCTTTATACTAAATTTATTTTCATTGAAAGCTGGTGTTTCCACAAAACTAGACCCAGTGTGCCGCTTAGTGCCAAAGCTGTTTAAATTGTCCTTACACGGTCAATAAATCCTTTTTAATGATATAAAACTATTTTTGAATGTTTTTCATTTTGTTGAGGCATAGTTCCAGTAGTTTTTACCTCTGAGAGAGAACTTCTGCAACGCAGCTGGAGCTCGGCTCACAACGCAACTCCTGGCCATTCAGTTTCGAGACTTGTGAGCAAAACAGCTCGTTGTTTCAGTCACCTGTTGTAACTTTAATTTCTCTCCCCCCCCCATCTCTCTTTCAAAGGAAATGACCTAAGAGGCCTTACAAAAACACATCTGAGCTCTCTTGCTTCAGACTACAGTCGCCGAGAAGCTCGAATCTGGAAGCAGCGCTCGGTTTCCACGGTGAAGTTGATAACTACCTCAGCCAGGAGAGAGAGGAGGGGAAGTCCCGCCGGCTGCTGTCTACTCCTTCCCAGGCCGGAAAAACCTGCGGAGAGCTTCCCTGCCACACTGCACTGAAAGGCTCACCGACGGACCGGATCTGTCGTGTCCAAGCCGGGACGGACGCTCCAGGAGACTGCCTGCCTCTCCGGCCCAGAGCCGCCGCACTGTACAATCGGGGGCGATCGGGGTTTTCCTTTAGTCTCTGTTCATTTTTTATTCCTTTTATTTCCTATCTTCGCTGTTGACCAGTGTTACATTTTCCTAAAATTCCTTTTGTTTTTCCTCTCATAGCTTTTAAAAGATTTGTATTTTTTACCAGAGGTCTATATATATACACACACACGCATATATATATATTTAAAAACAAACGAAGGAGTTTTTCTTCTTCCACTTGAAGAAAACATTTGTGCACTTTTTTGAGATCTCCCTCGGTTTGACCAAGCCAATGCTTGCTTGGAATAAGAACAGATTTGTCAACAGAGTGTCGCTCAAGTGCTGGAGCGGTGTTGGTATAGGAATATTCTTCGTTATTTAACCACTAATGACCTTCTGCGGGGCTGGGAGAAGAGCGGAGTGGAAGTAGATTTCGCCTGCTTGGTTCCCCGACTCGGACTGTTAGATGCGAGCTGCAGCAGGGCTGCCTCTCTTTCACACTTTCTCGTCTCCTCTTCCTCTCCCCGCTGCTACTAAGCCTTTGGAAATGCCTCATAGGCAGGCTGTGCACTTCAGCTATCTTTCTACACCAGTCCAGAAATAATTAACTGTTCAGAGCTGGTGGGGCTGTGATCCTGAAACAGGAGGCTGCGAGGAAAGCAAACAAGAAATAAAAGCAACTGAGAGGGGAGGGTAGCGACACAGCTCGCCACTTATGTATTGTTGTAGTGCTCAAGAAAGTAAGATGGACTACAAGCGGCGCTTTTTGCTTGGCGGGTCCAAGCAGAAAGTGCAGCAGCACCAGCAGTACCAGATGCCCGAGCTGAGCCGGGCCCTCAGCGCCCCCCTGGCGTGCAGCTCCAGCGCCGCGCCGCCCTCCCTGGGCTCCGGCGGCGGCTCGCCCGGCCACTGCAGCCACCCCCCCCCGCAGCACGGCACGGCCATCGCCGACATCCAGCAGGGCATCTCCAAGTACCTGGACGCGCTCAACGTCTTCTGCCGGGCCAGCGCCTTCCTCACCGACCTCTTCAGCAGCGTTTTCAGGAACTCGCACTACTCCAAAGCAGCTATGCAACTGAAGGACGTGCAGGAACACGTCATGGAGGCGGCCAGCCGGCTCACCGCAGCAATAAAGCCCGAGATCGCCAAGATGTTGATGGAGCTCAGCGCAGGCGCCGCCAACTTCAAGGATCAGAACGACTTCAGCCTGCAAGACGTTGAGGTAGGGGGAGCCCGGAATCCGGTTTGCTTTTGGAGGGATTGTGGCCTCGTCTTCCTGTTCAGGGCGGGCAGATCTAGTGCATGAAGCGGCGGCTGAGAACTGTTTTCGCCCTGCCTGCGGTTCTTTCAGGTTTTGCGGTTCAAACTTGCTTCTCTTTGCCGTTCGTGATCTGCCTTTGCTTCAGGCAGTCCTGTGGAAACGGGGTCCCAGTGGGAGAAGCAAGTCTGGCCCAGCAGTGCCACTTTTCATCCCACCTCGGTCCTTCATGACTTAATTGAACCAATTAAGGGTTCTGTAAGGCAAACGAGCTCTTTGCCTGGTCCTAAGCAGAGCTAATTGTAAGGTGTCTCTAAGACCTATAGGAGCACGTTGCTCAGGGACCTGGGTTATAAAAATGTAGTACTTATATGCTGACATTTTATTTCTGTCTGTCTGAATACCAAAGGAGAGTTTTTTTTGTTGTCGTGCTCATCTGAGATGCAATTGCACCACTCCATTTCCTATTGGCAAGTACAGGGCACTTTGTATTCTAAGGGTGTTGTTGAAAAGCTGTCTGAGGTGTCTGCGCTCACCTTCAGGACATGTGGTTGCTCAGTTTATAATTCCTTGGCTCGGACGGAGGCGTTGGTGCTCGATATTAAACTGATGCCGAGATTTCTGGGTGGCTTGTGAAAAGCTGTGGGTAGGTGTGAAAACGGAAGCAGCAAAATGAAACTGCGAAGATGGATTATCTACCGGGGCAAAAAAAAAAAAATCAGCCCCTGATCTTCAGGAGTCACTGTGCGGTCTACATCCTAGTGCTGTCTGTCACCTGATTTAGGATTCCTCTTCCAGGCAAATGAGAACTTCTAGGTACGATACTAGGCTGCCACAGATGAGCTCCTTTTTAAATGATTATATCTAGCAGAACAGATCCAAGGTGCCTTGAGTAGGAACAGTTAACAAGTGCTTTCTCCACCAAATTACCATGTGTTTTTGAGATATTTAACCACCTTACCACCCACAGCTAATAACAGCATGGGAGCACTGCAATCCAAAAACCTTGGTCTAAGTTTTAAGGCTTGTATTGAAGATAATTTCCTGTGCTGAGAATTATGGTGTAAATGCAGCCAGTGTGCTGCCGTACCAAGCACAATTACTTAAACCACTGTTTAGATAATCATTTTTTACCACAGCCACTTATTGGTTGCCTTTTTGTAATTATAACATGCAGTCATGATAAGAAACCCAGTTACAATCCCGACTGTAAACTTACTTACATTTTTTTTTTCTCTAGGAAGTAAACATATTAATCCAGACAGTGATGTTTTGGAATCAAGATGATATGAGGTCAGCCTCTGAATGCGTACCGTTCATGCCACGACCCTCCATTTCCAACAGAAAGCTTATTGTCGGGGGCCTCGGGCCTGCCAGATCCCAGAGGAATGCGCTGGAGGAATGCGGTTTCTCCTTGAGATGAGGAAAGCAGTTGTTCTTCAGCTCACAGCACTGATCCTTTGCCGGCTGGTATCTTACTGCTGTGCTTCTACCGAGGAAGGGCGGCGGGGGCTGCTCTTCTGCCCCCTGCCCTCTCCCCGCGGGGTGCGCTCAGGTTTCCTGGCCCGTCCTGGGGCCGCAGGTGGAGGGCCGGGGAACTGCCGGAGCCCGACGGCGACTTGCTCCGGCTGCGTGGCTCCGAGGCCCCTGCCGGCACCTGCCCCGCCCGCAGGCCGGAGAGCCGCCACCCTCTCGGTTCCCGGGAGTGACGTCAGCGCACTGCAGGTCACGTCGCACCCCGCCATCTGTTCGATTTTCTCCTGCGCGGTCTCTTCCGTCCCGCTGGCGGGGGGCTGTAACACTGCCGCCTGCTTCACCGGTCTCGGTGGTTTGGCGATCCGTCTCTGCAGAGGTGGTTGACGTGAGGATCAGGCGAATGTTTCTGCCCAGAGCTTGAGCATGCGGTTTGTTTTCCGCTGTTCTTAGTGGTCTTGCACCACAGCAGTCTCCCTTCATGTCGGCGTCTTCGGGCAACGGTTCACTGTCAGCTGTGAACTTGGTTTTGTGTTTTAGGCTGATATTTTTCTGTCATTTATTACAACATCACCCACCCCCTGAAAGGTCTTGGGGACAGTATTTCCAGAAAGCTGACATAACGTTCCTCAATATTTACTGTAATATCATCGCCCAGCAGGGTGGTGTGACAGAAACAAGTCGCCAGTGTAAACGTGGTGAGAGCCAGGCTAGATTTATGTGCTTGTGAAATATAAGGGGCAGCATAGTTTTTGAAGATGCAGAATGAGTCACTTCTTATTCCTGAGAGTTGATGTATAATATTGGTATAAGGCAATTTAAAAGCTTTATTTTGAGATGCATATAGGGTTGGACTATGATGGGTTATTTTCTGATTTAAGAAAGTCTTGTTGCAGATATTTCCTGCCCAAGGTAAGCATATGGATCTGAGAGTCTGTAGTGTTAAGTGTTTCTTGGTTTTGTCTTTAGACAACGTCAAAAATTAGATAAGCAGTGCTTCAGGGAACATATCATGAAGGAGTCGGTGCAGCACAGGAATTTTAAGGTTGAGAGTTTAATTGAAATCATGCTTCAGTATAGTGAAAATTATTTTGCACACTTGAATCGGTTCTCAAGTTTAAATATTACTTTAATGCACATCTTACAAAGATGTCAATAAACAACTGAATGTTAAGATTTAGCAGTTGAATCTCATTGCAAGTTGGCCTCATTGCTGAGTCTTGTGCTAAATCTGCCGAAGAGAAGGCTGCTTCATCTAAAAAATATCTGTATGTTTAGAGATGGTAAAATAAAGCTTAGGGCTCAGGAGACCACTGGAATGTTATACAGGACTGCAAACTTCCAGTCAGGGAGGTGGAAAAAAAAAAGTTTTAATCTGAGAAGGGCTCACTGGCAGCTTAAAGGAGATCAGCTGCCAAATATGCTTGAAAATGTCACGGTTTATTAGTAGACCGTCTCCTGTGCTCATGAACCAAACCACAGAGGGATGAAACACTGCAGACAGAACTGTCCAAATTTGTATGCTGCAATTGTCCTGAACAGCTGGCTGCACGAGTATTTTAAAGTGGAATACAATGTCAAACTTGAATGCTCTTCTACTGTTCTGTTATATTCATGCACTCCGATTGTATCCCCCTAGCAGTAAATAAAATCATGTTATCTTCTGACAGGTGGCTCTCATGTTGGCGTCAATAACGCCGATGGGCAGACTCTCGGGATCTTTAAAAATTGTACTATCATGGCAGTGTGTAAAACTGCTGAGAAACTAAATACATCCCATCGCGTGCTTATACCGTGAACTTTGGCAAAGTAAGATCTAGTTGGTTGTGCTGCTTGCCCTTTGCAATCCAGTAGGAATGGAAATGAACTATTTTTACATCCTGGATGCTGGACCATGTGGTTACAAACAGCCAGGAGACCCTTCGGCACATCTGGCTGTTTGTTTGGTAGTAATCCAAGGCTCCTGTCAAGCCTGCTTCTGGAGTATTTCCTGATCCTCCTATTTTGGTATCGTCTGTGAATGCGCCTACTAGACTGATTATACCAAAATCAAGAGCACTGACGTAAATTAAGTACAGTGATGCTAATACAGATCCCTATGGTATTCCGCTAATCACATCACCCTGATTTGAGCATTCACTCCTTATCTGTACTGTATCTGTTTTTGTCCAATAACCAGTTCTCAATCCATAACCTTGTCTTTTTTTGAATGCCTGCTGCCAGCACCTCATATCTAGCAGTAATAAGACTAATTGGTTTACAAGTGCTTGGTTTGGTTTTGTCCCTCTTGTCTGTGGGTGGGTGCTGCATTGGCATGGATTGTTTAAGAGCCAATGAATAACCATGTTTCCTTGAGTACAGCTGGTAGGATGTCATCCGGCCATAGAGATTTATCTGAAGGGCTTCTAGTACCTGCAAGACCTCTGTCATTCTTCTGGTAATATTTAATATACCGCAGAGCTGTCTCGCTCAGCCTGAGGCATGTTGTCAGTTTCTTTCATGATGAAGGCCTGCATAAAATATTAATATAATATGTCACTTCCCTTTAACATAGAAAAAGGCTCCCATTATTATCTCTGAAACCCTTAACTTTATCCTTTACTTTTCCTTTGCTGAAAAGTAACTGGGAAAATGAACCTTATTTTACCCTCCATTACAATACTCTTCTGTCTTGTCCTCTCCAAGATCTCTTGCATCATTGCAATTCCTTATACTCCATTATCTGCATCCTCTCACGGTCCATGATCTACTGATACTAGACAGTTGTTTTATCAAATGCTTGCTTTCCTCATACATCCATGTTAATTGATTAACTCAGGATTTTGACCTACTCGCGCTTGGGAATGAATCGGTTCTGTGCTTCAAGCAGAATATCTTTCAACTGTAGCCATCCATTCTCTGCTGGTTCCTTAGTTTTTATCCCAGTCTGCTTCTCTTGAACTCTCATTCCTTCATGGTCTGCTTTCCCGACATTACGGACCTTTGCTTTGGGTTTAAGCTATACAGTTTCAGCATGCTGTGTTATTATCACAGTTCCCAAATGGTTCTCTCACCACTGTTTTCCTTATTCAGTCCACAATGCTTGGATCACTTGCTCTCTAAAAGGTTCTCTGACAATCTGAGAAAGCGGGGCAGTCATCCTTATCTGCCATTCATGTTTCTGCCGATGCCCCCCTTTTTAGTCCTCACTTATGTAAGGGAAATTAAAATTTTCCATGTTGACCACTTCTTCCTTTACACACTCCTTATTATGTTGCACAAGATTGTTGTTTTAATTATTACTAATAATAAACCTTATTTTGAATAGGGCCTTTACCAATAGCTTCTCTGAGCACTTTATTTGAATTTGGAGGTTTGCAACATTACATCTGACACTCTGCATTTGTACTCTTTTTATAAGTCTGACTTTCTGTGCCTGACACCTTTAATTCATCAGGGTAGTCCAGGTTGACAGCAAGGAAGGGGTTAATATAGCCATGGCAGGAAACGCCAGTATCATCGGAGTCATGATTTAGGTTGTTCCTGTTATTCAGTGATGTATAGCAGCCACTGGAGATCAGGAGTAACATAAATCAGACTTGAAACAGATGCACAGAGGTTATTTATGACGGGCTCAGAGAATAACAGTGGTGGAGCGCTGTCAGTGTGCTCCCCGAGCCTGTGTCGTTCGTCCAGGAGAACGTGCCATTCAGATGCCCTTCGTCCGCCGCTACAGCCTTTCAATGACCTGAAACTGGTGGAGCGCTGCCTCTTCGTGCGATAGGAGCACACGCTTTCAATCCCAGCAGGCCTGCTAGCTTCCTGAGCCTTGTAGATCGGAACATCGTCTTGTCTGGTGCTCGAGTGTTTTTTATGACTGGCAGGTATCGAGGAGTCATCTAAATTTATTCATATTGCACGGAATTTATGCCATTAAATTTCTGTATAATGTCATTGCTTTCTCCGGTGAAAGCACTTTTGTAGTGCTTCTTTAAAACTTCAGTTAGCCGTAATTGTGCTGCTGTAGGCAAGGGGATTTCGAATATGTTTGAAAGCATAAATATAAATTGCACAATGCAGTCTGGTGGAAAAATACGCCCCCTTAAGATCTTATGGTTTAACATATTGAGACGTATTTGACCTTCACCTAGTCCTTACCAAGTCCTAATACAGTAGCATGTATAACTAATTTAATTTAACAAATGACACACAAAAAGGAAGTAAGTGCACTCTTAGTTGTATCACTTCTTCAACACACCGAAGATAGTTTCTGCATTCAGAAAGCTGTTGTCTCAAACCGCAAACACAGCAGTCCAGGTCCTGATTCGAATCTTCCGTGCCACATCATCCAAATGTATATAGTATTAGATTCAAATACGTGTTCTGTCCTTGCAGCTTCAGAGCTGCATTGTGGACATTGTGTGGCAGTGGGGGAAAGCATCAGTGTACTTGTGAGGCCAGAGCTTCCAAGAATTGAGAATAAATCTGAAAAAGACCCTAAAAAGGCTCGGGTCCTCCCAATTAGTTGTGACCAGAGTGTTTTATTCAAGTCATTTATGAGACGTAATTATTGTGCATAATTTTCCCATGAGACTGTGCTCGGGCATGCTCAGTGGTTGTAACCACTTGCTCATGAATGTGTATGAAAGCCCATACTTGTTTGAATTTTCAAAAGAAATTTTAGCTTTTGCTGTGCAATGGTGTTACTGTGGGATTGGACTTTATTTTATTAAGATTTCCTTACTGCGTGGGTTATATAGGCCCAATAGTTGCATGTTTCTTTTAAGTGATGTAAGTGCTCAGGCAGCTATATTAATGTTTAATCACATCTTCCCCTATGTACAATATTAAGTGGCGAAAAGACTTGCATTATACATCATGTAACTTTACATGCTCCCGAATTGTCAGTTTGCTGTCATCAGCAAGCAGTGACTGAGCTCCCGATTCAGGAAAGGGTTTGAATTCACAGACCTACCCTGCCTGTTTTTACTTTTGTGATGGATGTGACAGATTGCATTGCCCTGCAAGATAAGGAAAGTATACCACCCATTGATTCTGCATCACAGACTGATGTGATATCGACATCACACAGTCATACTGTTAGACTTTACTTATGCAGTAACGAGCAGATCCCCGCAGTGTGATTGATTAATGATTGAATGATTCATCAATTGTGTTTTGGCAGCAAAAATCTTATTCTTCACAAATCGTTTGAAATGCACAATTCTTAAAATGATCAATGAGATCATTAATAAATGCTTTTTTTATGATTCGCTAATATTCGCATTGTTTCAATTCATGAAGTGTTCGTAGCTTTCTCTGCTAGTTACTTCATTCATTTTCTGTGGCAAACCGAGAGACATTGGAGGGATTTATAGGAAAGAGGTAAAAAAAAAAGTTTTTATGAAGTTCTATTACAAATACGTCATTAGCTTTTTAAAAACTGAAGTATTTTAATTTCACCTAGCATCTCATTATCTCTTTTTTTTGGATCAGGGTGAGGAAACTGTTTCACTTGGCTGTAGTGTGAAAGCCATGAACGGGGCCCAGGGGATCAGTGTTCTGTGTATCATTTATATTGTATATTAACCATTGGTCTTGGTCCCAGGCTCTTCAAACGCGTCAGCCTGCAGACATACAAAAAAGGCCAACAGTCCTGTGAGATACACGAGCAGTCTGCACTCCATCAAAACAGCTCACTCACACATTACAGGAAAAAAAAGTAAGTTTTGATGGAGTGTTCACTGCTTGTAAAACTTCTGGACATGCTGCCTGTGGTCTCTAATGAGCACTAGTTTTCATCCTTGCTTCCCCAGATTTTATTTTATTTTTTTAAGGGAGCAGAGTATTTTTCAAACCCCCTTCATTTACGTGCAGTTTAGGCTAAACCATCAGTTGCTTTTTTAGATATTTAAATACCATAAAAGATTTTTAACACTGAAGATCTATACAGTTTGTGTTTTTTGTTCCTGGGAAAACACACGTGTAGGATACTGATGTTTAGAGTTATTCAGTATCTGTGCATAAAAGAGGCAGACTGAATTGACATGCTGAGGTGTCTGAATTGATCAGTTGTGACAAGGGGAAATTTGTGTGTTTTCAAGTCGGTATCAAAAGCTGGGTTTTTGAAGCTGCTGAAAGCCAGCTTAATGTTGTATGGTCACGTATTAATTTCATTACCCTTGTGAAATGCCTCAATCAATCTTACTGCCTCTCTCCAATTACTATTCTCTGTAATTACTATAACATATAACTGGTATAGTTTGTCATAAAACTGGCTTTCACTTGCACAAAGAGAAGACGGCAACTCTTTACACTGTGTGGAACAGGCAGGCACTTATTTACTCAAGGCATTGTGGGAGTATGAAACAAGCTACCCAGCCATGTTTTTACTGCTTTTTGTCACTTTCTCTCATTTTTTAAGAATGCCTAATTAGATTCATTTTTGTAGTGCAACAAATCCATTTATTTCCTGCTCTTGTTAGTCTTTTAAATGATGAGCTGTGCAGCAGGAGCAGTGAAGCAGCTTCTCTTCAGGTGTCTGCGACACTAGCAGCTGAAGCAGCTGACAGCCACGCATGTGTTCAGCTTGACACCAGTGCTTAGGCTGCGATGCACAAGTGGGGCTTTGAAGGCATTTTCCCCTGCCACCTCGTAGTGCTGTCCCTCACCACTGTGCTGTTCTGTGAATAGCAAAATGAAAGAAACAACTTTCAGGAAATCTGTGTGATGTGTACCAGTCTATCCCTCAGAGCTTTCTCAAAAGTGGACACAGGTTTCTTTCAGGAAGAGCAAAACACACACAGCAAAGACAGCAGGTCCCTGATGGGACTGAAACTGGCAAGAAGCTCCTTTCCATTGTGAGCGTACAATTTAAATGCATTGATTTATCGAGCTCCAGGAGCATGGCATTGCTGAGGTTATCTTAAATGGTCCCAGGTTGATCACTGTGGGAGAAACCCAAACCGGTTGTTACAACAGAAATCGAACACTCTAGACGTTCAAGACATCGGAGAATCCTCTGTTCTCATGCACTTTAAGAAAAAAAACATAGCTACAGTCTGCTGCACTGTAACAGGGTTGAGGTTATTCACAATGGTAGATGAAGTATAAATAGTCATCTGTTCTGAATAAAGCTTTGTGGTTTTCTATGTACAGCGATTTTGTGAATGGGAAAGATTGCAGTTCCCTTTTTAAGGGACTTTACACTTGCCAGTGAATGTCAGCTTTGATGTTCCTTCTTTCTGGCTTGTTTCCACTCATTTCTGAGTGAGACATAGATTACTGCTCATACAAGTAATTATAAAACATTTTAATTTTCAAAAACCACAAAGCACTGTACAGTTTCCAGGGTTCAAACCCGGCACAAGAGGAAAAAAAGAACAGGCGGTACGTCGACAAAATAAAACTGAAAATAAAACAGTTATCCATTAAAATCTGTGCTACAAAAACAGGTCTTCAGTGTGTATACAAATATACCCAGTCTCTGAATATCGGTAGATCTGGGCTCTATCACCCATGATGTGGAGGCTGATCTTAGTGTAAGAAGACCTGAATCGGCAGATCTCCGATTAAATGCTGGACCATTAATCCTTAAGGTCCTTATGGTGGCTTGAGGATAGACCATTCAGTTGCTTATACTGTATGTAGACAGGAGATCTGTGAAAATGCAATTTAAATAAAATGTTTAACAGTGTGTTTTTTTTTAGGTTAGAGTGAAATTAAACTGAATTTCATAAGCATTGAGGTATTAATATTGCAGCTCATGTTAATGCTTATGCTGTATGTAATTAGGAAGTGTAAGTTTAAATAGTACAGATGAAGGCTGTTGGGCTGTATATAGCAGACCGTTATGCTGCCTGCATAGTAAATGGGTAAGGCTGTGAAAAATGCTAATGATGTTATTTTTGTTGGAGGCTGATGTACTGGGATTGCCGTTTAGCAGAGCAAATCATACCAGTAGTTCGGAGTGTTACAAACACTCAAACGTGACAGCGGGGCGGGGATGACTTCAGCCGGTCCTTTCCCTCTCCGGCCTCCCCGCATCCGTGCTCAGCCCCGGCTCCGTCCGTCTGTCCGTCTCCCCGCAGGTGCTCGGGCGGTGCTTCCTGACGGTCATGCAGGTGCACTTCCAGTTCCTGTCCCAGGCCCTCCAGAAGGTGCAGCCGGTGGCGCAGTCCTGCCTGGCGGAGGCGCTGGCCCAGGCCCAGGAGCGCCGCGCCGGCGCCCGGCCGCCCGGCACCGACGCCGGGGCCCTGTCGGAGCTGGAGGAGGCCGCCAGGTCCTGGAAAGGTGCAGCCGAGGTACGCAGGCAGACGCCGCTATTTTTACAGGCCGCGCTGCTCGCAGCCCCCAGCGGCCCGGCTGTGTATTTTTAAGTGTGCATTCCTGCCCTGGTAGATCACGAGCTGGGAGAACTGCGGTGCTGGGTTTGTTTGCATGTTTACTTCATCTTGATTCCACTTGCGGTTTATGTCAAAGGCCCGGCCAGAAAGCAGCTCCCCAAAGTGTGTTAAAGAATCGGGAATCTTGGTCACAGAAGCAGGAGTGTTGTTGATTAGGAGTGTGTGTTGCTTTTCCAGGTTTCAGCACTGAAGGTCTCTTGTTTTTTCTTGTGAGTTTACTTTTTAAAATGTGGGGCATTGGTTTCTGGGAGCCCCTTGTGTTTCAGAATGAATACCAGTATTTCTGGTTTTGATCTGTGACGTCCTTGAACAAAGGCCTTATTTTCAGCTGCAGAAATATTTAGTGTGGGATTTGTCTCAGAAGGAATTAAGTTTGGAATAAACTCCCCCCCCATCAAGGGAAAAAAGAGGCCTCTTCCAACTAACTAGCCTCAAGTGAGAGCTTGTATGTCCATTTCAGGACATTTTTAAAGGCAAACTGTTTGATCCAGACCAGAAAACAAATTCCGTTTGTTCAGTTTAACACGTGCTGTGAGCCCTTTCATTACAATTTTGAATGACTGTGGAATTTGTTCATTTGGCCCTGATCACAATTAACACAACATCCAAGTAGTGGTAAGGTGAATTAACACTTTGGGATGCATCTTCTCGCCCTGCTTTGTGGAAGTGTTTTGTTCCGATGTGGACCAGTAAACCTTTCACCGGTGCAGAAGGGGTGTGAACAGTGCTGAATGATTAATGCGTTTGTACGACTAGCAGAGAGAAAAAGTTTATCCACTGCCTAATCGACTGAAACCGAGTTCCCAGACTGCCCTGAGCTCTGTGGGACGTAACAAGCCAGAGTGGATCTCAAACAAGGGTGAATGGTTTGTTAGTGCTGGCGTGTGGAGTGTTAGTCTGGACAGTTATCAGTCTGGATATCCTGGTGGAATGTGTAGGGGGGGCTCTCACAGCTGGAGGGCTTTCTTAGAGGTGGGCCCATTAAGTGTGACTCTAGCCCTCCTGCTGCAAGCTGGCTTAAACAGACCCCATTCTTCTCTGAACTGCAGGAGCACAGTGATGTCATGTGCCAGTACAGGCCAGGGCTCTTGCTTCATAACGGCCTCAACACTGAGCAGCACTTCATGCTCGCAGTCGTGCAATTTGCAGAGAACGCGCCCCCCAATTATCAGCACCGGTCCCACAAAGCCATTGCTGAAATCCCGTCTCGCTTTTAAGAGTGGGAGGAAAAAAATCAAGTGTTTTTGGCCTGTTTTCATTGCAACAGGATAGGTGCCCTTGTACGCCAACAGCGTTTGAGGCACTTCATGGGGGTAAAAACAAAAACGCACAAAAGAAAAAAAAATAAAATCAAAATAACTGTAACCTTGAACAGAAGCGAGTTTCTGTAGTGGAGCAAGGCAGCTGTCTTGTCGAGTGCTGTGCTCAAGCGGTCACTGGCCTGTGGAGTGGGCGAGCCAGAGGAAGATGTCCTCTGTACCATCCTCACCACACAACTGCCAAATCTCTTTTTTGGAATTTTGAAGTCCAAATCTATAAGAAACAGGAACGCAGTACACTGTCTGGTGGATATATTCATGGTTAACGCAAACGCCACCAAGAGGCAAACAGTCCAAAAATTAAGCCCGATTTCTCCTTGGGATGTTGGATCAATGGACAGGTGTTTAACAAAATGAAAATAATTATATTGATGAAAACATGGAGAAAATGACCTGCTAAAATGAATAGATAATTTATGCATTTCCTTTTTTAATTTTATACAGGACGTAGTGTAAAAAACAAACTGCTACAATGCATAATGTTACAAATGCAATGAAGTGGATGTAACACCAGGAATGCTCGATTTGATTTTTTTTCTTGGTCAAGTCGGATGCTGTGCTCTTCTCCGCAGTGGCTGACTGTGTGCACTCCAGTGCGATTTGCCTTTCCTGCTGCCCGGCCCTTGACGTGTTTGCGGTGTTTCGCTTTCGCTCTCTGTCCCAGGCCACGTCTCGCCTGAGGGAGAGGGGCCGAGACGGCTGCCTGGCGGGGCTTGAAGTCCAACAGCTCTTCTGCTTCCAGACCACCACCATCCCCGAGCACCAGCTGAAGGAGCTCAACATGAAGATCGACAGTGCTTTGCAGGTGGTTCCCATGTCCGGGCTCCTGATGGACTGTTGGGCTCTGGTTTCACTCACTGTGATCGAGAGAAGGAAGACGGAGAGAGAGCCTAGGCCTTGGATTTAAAGCATATGAAGCATTTCTATTTTGACTGTGATCAAGTTTCTCAAGTATTGACGATACAGCAAATTTTTTAACAAACATTTGTAAATATTTAAAGCCTTCGGGACACAGAGCTGAATTCCTAACAAGATAATTTGTAGACTAAACTGGACTGGAGACGTTGCACTGCTTAGCCTTTTGCAGATGAAGGGAACTTTCTTTGTCTTGTTTTTACAGAATTGAATGTGGTCTTTGTTTTTCCATGCAGGCGTACAAAGTAGCATTAGACAGCCTGGGGCACAGCGAGTACACCCTGAAGGGCGGCTTTCACCTCAACCCCAAAGCTGTGGAAGCAGCTTTACAGGTGTGTGATCTATTCAGTGTGCTTCCTAAAAAAGATCCCGTTTCTGTGCTGCTTCTCATAAACACGCACAAGAAAACGTTCTCTCTTTAAAGCTCTGTTAATGCTGAAAGCCCCGTTGTGGAGTCTGTATCTGTCGTGCTGTCGGTCTTGCCTGTGCCCGCGGTTCACGCTCCTGTTTCGCGGCTCCAGGGCTGCTGCAGCGAGGCGGAGGCGCAGCAGGTGGGCCGGGCGCAGACCGCCTCCCAGCCCCTCCAGTGCGAGCTGCCCACCATCCCCGTGCAGATCGGCTCGCACTTCCTCAAGGGCGTCTCCTTCAACGAGTCCGCGGCGGAAAACCTCAAACTGAAAACGGTACGTTCCTGCCCTGCGTACCCACTCGGTGGTCCCCGTACTGTGGTACATCACAAGCCCCTGTCCCGGGTGCCCACGCTCCCCGTACTGTGGTACACTCGACTCTTATTTGATAAGCAAAAGAAAGCTGTGGGTAAAATTGGTAGAGACTGTTCCGTTTTAGCATCAGAGGCTTTCATTTAGGTAACCTGGAGCTCAGAGGGTTCTGCACACCAGTATGAGTAGTTCACTGTATACTGGTTGAACTTTTTTGTTAAACTTGCTTTCCACATAATGTCACAAAAACCTTTGCAAACAGGTATTATAAATGATGTGGAAAGAAATATACTTTTTATTAAAGGTGCATTGTTACAAGGACTTATGTGTCCTGCTTTTGTGTTTCATAATTAGAAATGTAATTAAATATCGTTCATGATTTTTTCCCCAAAAAAGACCTTGTTTGTGTGTACCGTTTAAAACAAATCAGCAAATCAGGCTTTTCTCTAGTTTTTCGTACTTCATACTGGTCAGCCAAATTCTGATTTATAAATATTTTGGAATAGACGTACATCTTTGCAGCTTGCTTTCTTTGACAAGGTGAGATTCAGCCAACTTGTGAGATACATTTCACAGTTCTGGCAGGCCTGTGTGGAGCTTTGTTTTGGTTAGTGTCTTCGTCTGCAGTTAGAAGAATTCCTGCTAATCTGATTAGTGCAGCCTGTTCACCATCAGGTCACTTTTCCCTTTGAAGTCTGGACATCGCTCCATGAACGAAAACAACCTCCCACCCCACCCCAGGAAAAAAACGTTGAAATAACTTCAGGCAAACCAATTATGAAAGAGCACAATGGATTATAATATTTCAAAACAAGCAGGCCCCATGAGCTACACCGAGGGACACTGCGTCCTTTCATCCCGCTCACGTGAAATGGGATAGCCGGAGAAAGAGATTAATTACCGGGCATTTCGCAAGGAGGCCAGGCTCCTCCTGGTCGCCACGCATGTCGGGGGCTGTGGTTTTGCTCTGAGACGTCGCAGCTGTGATGTTTGTTTTCTCTGTCCTCCTCCTCAGCAAACGATGCTGCGGCTGATTAAAGAGGCAGCTGGGCAGAACGGAGTGGCCCCCCGAGACGACTCCCCCGTCACCGAAGTCCTCAACCAGGTGTGCCCCTCCAGCTGGAGAGGGGCCTGCAAGACCGCTGTGCAGCTGCTGTTCGGGCAGGCGGGGCTGGTGAGTCCAGCTCAGGGGGCCGATCGGTCCAGAGGAGCACCAGCGTGGTGCCTGGGGAGACGGGCCTCTTGGCATAGAGATGAGGTTTTAAATCACACGCGTTTCTTAGACCAAGGTTTAGTCCTTCCTCCCATCCGAAGACTGTGGGTGGTGCGTTATGCAACTTATTTTGATATTATTTGAAATATTTAAAGAAATATATTATTTCTTTGTTACAGTCAAGTGTCGCACAAAAAGGAGCTCCTGTGTGTGATTGCTGGTATTGGTAAATGTTACGGGAACACATCAAACTTGTAACATGCCGTTTTTACACCGTTCTGAAATGTTTCTGGTTTCTATGAACACACGGTACTCTGCCATTTGTATGATCATAAAGGTGAATTTTTTGGGGTTGTCACTATCCGTCAGTATGTCATCGGGATGGCTGCACAGTTCAGATTGTGCGTTATAATTGTTTTTAGACGCCTGTCTGGTGTGCGTTGCTTGCTGGAACAGGCTCTGGCTGCTCTGCAACCCTGTACTGGATCAAGCTGTTAGAAAGTGATGAATGGATTAATTGTTTTTAGAAATGTGACAGTCCAGGGGTGTATTGGTTAAGACTCTAGCCTCCAGACTGGTGAATTGCTGAATTTTATAACATTGAGTAAGGTAACTCACTCAAATTCCTCTGGGAACTGCTCTGCATTTATAGAGCATAAATAGGGTCTTATATCATGCAATAAATGCAATAAAAAATTATTTCTCAACGAAGCCTCCCTGACGGGGCTCAGTTAGAAATGGGCGGTGTTTGATTCATGGTATTTCTCCACGAGCACAAACCCAATCTCTGGTACAGAGGATGCACCTGTGCCATACAGAAAAACAATGGCCTACTTTCCTGTTGGACAGGAAGCCCTTTTCAAATCACTGACCTGGGTGTGTTTAGTCTGTTCTGGGTCTTGGCCACTGCTTCTGTGGAGAGGAGGGGGAGGGTATCTCTACAGCTCATTTAACACTGGCTTTTAGGTGTCACCCTGCGGAATTAAAATGGAAGGAGCAAACAGTTTATCAAGATTATCTTATAGGCTGAAAGGAACAGAACTTGCGTGTTTGTCTTCAGTGGTTAGTCTTTTCCCATGGATATTACGATTGGATTATCACCCATGTCTCCCATTTTGCTATTAGTGTACATGCAAGTACAAATATTTATGTTCATGATGAAAATTGTAATTATTTTTGTAAGCCAGCAGTTTGGTATTTTTGCACCCATTCCCAGTAATGAAAAGGACAGTGTTGGATATCATCAAGCTAAGTGTAAGATGTACGTTCAAAGTTCCATATTATTCCCGGTAACTTTCTGTGTTTTATTTCTAAGGAAAAAAGTGTGAAATATGTTCTTTAATATGTAGTTTTCTGATGCTGCTTCACTGTTATGTGCTATTTAATTCCTGCAGCAGGGGCCAGAACAGCTCAAAACCAGCCCTTGTGTTAGACTGCGCGTGACAAATTCAGTATTTGGTTTCAGACAAAGAGACCGTATTCCCAGAATATAGTTTCAAGGGATTCCATTGCTGTTTCAGGGTTAGTCTCTGGCTGCAAAGGGCACTGATAGACACAAATAAACTGACTTCCTGTTAGTCATCAGAGGAAGCCAGCCCTGAGTGAGTCAGTGTCTTGTGTCCTTGCAGCCACTCTGCTGCTCTGTGTTCCTGGTAGAAGAGTTTCCACCCTGGGTCTCAGCGAGGCCATGCTCCATAAATCCATAAATACCACTGCTCTGCCAAGATTGCAGTACCAACAAGCTCAAAATGGACAAAATTAATTGCTTGGTTTTGCTTTGAAAAATGCACCCTAACCCTGCCATCATAAAAAAGTTATGAACATTCAGAGTTTGTTGGATCTCTTCAAGCACATGTATTAAGGCAGCTATGTGCCAATACACATTACACAGGACGTATTGGATATGTATTATGTATTACAATGCACAACAGTAAGCATTGGAACAGTTAAGTGCAGGCTTGTGTACCATGTGCTTCTGCCCATATGAGCCACTCACAGTGAACAAGTGTAGCGCCCCCTGGTGTGTGCTTTGTGTTTAGTCCTCTTTGTACAGACACTACATTTTATTGCCCCTTGGTGCATATTTCTCCTCGATTGCGCAACAGCTCTCCTACGTTCCCCGTTTGTGCTAGAGTTTTTAAGTGTTTTGTGAAGTAGTTTATTTTTTGTTGTGATTTGTCATCAGCTTTACCAAAAAAAAACACTGCTGAGATGTCTGACCCACTTCCTTTGCAACTTGTGCTGTTGACAGGTGGTGGTGGACACTGCTCAGATTGAGAACAAAGAGGCCTACGCCCCTCAGATCACCCTGGAGGGATCTAGAATTGTGGTTCAAGTGCCATCAACATGGTAGGAGCTATTTCTTTACCACTTTCTAGACGAATCTTTCCGGATCCAGGCAGCCAAGCGAGGCTGGGCCTGGCCGGTCCTGGGGTGGGAGACCTCCAGAGGAACATCAGGCTGCTGCTGCATGTGGTGTTGGTGGAGCTCTCCCCTCCAGACCAGAGTTTCCAAACCAGAGTGAAGTGATATTGATTTGAAGCAGGTTTAATTTTATAATTCATCCACAGACCCATAAAATGTACACCTCTAATTAGTTCACTGTTAACACTTTAAATGAAGTTTAAACTTTTGGTCAGACCGTGGAGATAATTAGCAGGTGTCAAAGATGGATTGAGCAAAAAAATGACTTTTACAAGCAGGGTATGAAATTTCAGGCAGAGGTCCAGACTTCACTAGCTGCTTGTTCAAGATTGAGGTCCATGTTCGGAGATGTAGGTGCGACATGTCTTTGGCTGCACACTGTGGAGTGGTGACTCTAGCGGAGCTGTGATGGTGTCTGCAGGTGTCTGAAGGAGGATCCGGCCACGATGTCTCTGCTGCAGCGCAGTCTGGACCCAGAGAAAACCCTGGGCCTAGTGGATGTGCTCTACACTGCTGTCTTTGACCTCAGCAGGTGGAAGGAACACAGGTAAGGGAGAGAGAGTTACAATTCGATACCATTAAAGATAGGCCTTTAAAGCAAGTGATCGTTAAAAGTTGCAGTGATTGTTAAAGACAGGGCGCACACACCCACACCAGGGCCGGTTTTCTCAGAAGCCAAATAACGGTGCCAGTATGTCTCTGGTGTTTCCTGCCAGAGCAGCTGGAGGAAACGTGGACATGAGGGGACCACACTCCATGCAGAGAGCACCCCAGGCCTGGATCTGAACCCAGGGCCCCAGCGCTATGAGGCTGCAGTGCTAACAATGGCCCACCTTGCCCCCCTTGAGGGGTGCTTTGTTTTGATTAATGGATTAATTTTTTACCACATTGTTGCATTTCAGGTAGATGATAAAACGTTATGCCAGGCACATTGTGTCTGTGTGTGTGTGTGTGTCTGTGTGTGTGTGTCTGTGTGTACATGTATACAAGGTTTCTCCAAAAACTGGATAGATCTGTTCTGCTGGCATGTTGATACAAGGCTGTGTTTCCGGCCTCCCCGCCGCAGGGAGCAGGTCCTGCCCACCATCCAGATCCAGCTGCAGCGGGAGAGCTCGGACTTCGGGCCCCCGGTGGACCTGCCAGCGGGAAACGGACCCAAGTCCTCGGGGGGGCTCCCGAAGACCATCTCCAGGCTGACCTCCAGGTTCACCAAGAAGACCTCCTCCAGCAGCGGCAGCGGGGGCAGTTTCTCCATTCCCACCACCCCCTCCCGGAACATCTTCTCCGGCGGCGGCGCCGAGGACAAGGCCAAGAGCCCCGCCGGCGCCGACGCCAGGCTCCAGAGCGTCCTCCACATGGGCAGCTTCCCCCGCGCCCAGGAGCCCGGGCAGCCCCCGCAGGGCATGGCCGGCCCGCTGCCCAACGGGTACCCGCCGGAGGAGAAGGGCATGAACCTGCCCACGGACCAGGAGATGCAGGACGTCATCGACTTTCTCTCAGGTTTCAACATGGGCAAGTCCCAGCAGGCCTCGCCCCTCGTCAAGAGGAGGAACTCCGTGGCGACCCCCGGCGTGGCCGAGCAGAAGCCGCCCGCTGGCGCCCCGCCGGCCTCGCAGGCGGGCTCGCAGGGGCCCCTGCAGCCCCCCGGCCCCCCCCAGGTCCTGCCGAAGCCCCAGCAGCAGGCGCTGCAGTTTTATCAGCACCTCCTGCAGCCCATCAGCCCGCAGCAGCAGCAGCAGGCCTCGCCCCCCCAGCAGCAGCAGCAGCAGCGCGTGCCCCCGAAGTGGCTCGGCACGTCCTCCCAGCACCCCCCCCAGCCGCCCGCGGCGGGGCTGTCCCCGATCGGGCAGATCGGACAGTGGGGCGCCCCGGGGCTCCCCGACCTCAGCTCGGACTTGTACAGCCTGGGGCTGGTCAGCACCTACATGGACAGCGTCGTGTCCGAAATGCTGGGGCAGAAGCCCCAGGGCCCCCGGAACAACACCTGGCCGAACCGGGATCAGAACGAGGGAGTGTTCGGAGTCCTGGGGGACATTCTTCCATTTGATCCAGCAGGTGGGTAGGAGCTCATCTCGGCAGTCCCAGCTGGTGTCCGCTTTCGGCCAGTGAATTTCTGGTGTGGTATCCCAGTGGGGTACACTGCAATACAGACATCCTTATTGGTGGAAATCCCTCTTACAGATATGGGGTCTGAATCTTCAGACACCGACTCTTTTAGCTCAGCAGTAATGGCCACGTCTTTAGTTCAGATCACAGAAGTAAAAGCCATGAGGGCAGGACTCTCCAGGGATCCTCTGGATCCTGCAGATCCTGGCGCAAGCTGTACTGTCAAAGCTGTGTCAGCACTGGACTGCGCCTTTCCTGACTGATGTAACAACTGGCGTGGAAAAAAGTCTTTATTATACCTCCGGTGGATAGTTTCCTCTTGCCTGAAAAAAAAACACACACTAATAAGGATGATTTTTTTGTTCTTTCTGTGAGGTAGATACTCAAGCGCCTTTATCTGTAGTGGGTACTGTTACTGTACAGCACTGGCCTGGGAAAAGGGAAAATATGTGTTCATATATATATATGGACATTTAGGACATTTATTGCAGTGGGGTGAGGTTAGTGAGCCAGGGCTGTCTCTGCAACATAGAGTCCCCTGTGGCCTTCCAATACCGGTCACAACAAACACTTCTGACTGCTCCAAAGTGGGCAAGATTATAACAGATTATAGTCAATCCTAAATTTGTAGATAGGAGAAATAAAAATGTCAAAACTGTTTAAATCAAGGAAATAACATGACATGAAGCACATGGCTCTGTATTTCTGCTCACAGGCAGAACCGGAGTAGCTGTGATTACAGTATTGAACAGCAGCTCCACAATTAGAAGGCCTACCGGGGAATTAATTAGGTCATTCAAAATTGAACATTAACAACTCAGAGGTCAATAGTAAATTAGATTTTTATGGAGGGTCCAAGGCATTATTTGACCTTTTGAAATTGCCCTGACCTCCTGAACTGTCAGCTCAAGCTTCGAGAAACTACAGCTTCACAGAGGGTAGCTGGCATGTAAGAGGAGCTTAAGGTCAGTCTGTTTCTAGGCAGGAATGCACTGCTTATTATTAGATATGCATCCTATGGCCATTTAAACACAAACTGGACAGTCTGCGGACAAACAAGATAGGTTAGCCTTTCCTTCTAGTGAACGCTGTCTGACTGGAGTCTCTGGATTGATACTCAGCTGCATTTTTCCTCATGCTGTTACTTTGACTGTGAGCAGCTTGCTTTGAGTCTGGTGAGCCCAGTGTGTGTCTGCTTGCAGATACTAGAGAGGTAGGAGCAGGGAGCTGCATCAGCAGGCAGAGGAACACAAGAGTTTAATACCATCCTGTAGAGTAGACAGACAAAAATCAACTTTCTGCTGTTCAGCCTCTTCAGGTGCCACCTTTTCTCTTCAGTGCAGAATTAAACTCAGCTTCTTCTTGGCATATGGTGTGTGTATCAGAAAACGCTTTGGTGGTGTTTTCAAGTTTATTTCGACACTGCCTGGTCAGCAGTGTGTTTTCACTCTGTTCTTGCAGGCAGATTCAGGTCCATTTTACACTGTCCATTTCTTCCACACTATCAGCACGAGCCATTGTCTGCAGCTGACTGCTGGCTATGGTGCACTTTGTGCTACACTAGCCAGCTGGGCTTAAAAGATTCCACAGCAGGGCTGATTGCAGTGGGAAGAGCTGAGCCTGTCAGAAACGGTGGGTTTCTTTCTCCGCCCGCAGTTGGCTCTGACCCGGAGTTCGCGCGTTACGTGGCTGGGGTCAGCCAGGCTATGCAACAGAAGAGGCAAGCGCAGCTCGTCCGCCAGCCTGGCAGCACCCGGAGCAACTGGCCGATCTCCGATGAGCCTCACAGGGGCGGGACCTGGCCCCACCCCGAGTACTACACCGAGGGGTAGGCCCGACGCCGGCACTGCTCGACGCGTCTTGTGCACCAGTGTGTTCTTTGTCTGATTCCGTGCAGAAAATGGCGGATTGTCAAAGAAAACAATATATTTGTTCTGCCCAAAAGAGATAAAGAGCCCCCACTATTGTCACCCCCTCTTCGGTAGGGAGTGTTTGTCCACCCCGCTCCCTGAACGGCCCCTGCAGGTTTCAGGGCTCAAGCGCCATCTTCTGGGCAGAAGGCGTTATTATTGTTTAATTACTGGGAGAAGAGAAGGGGGTGGGGTTCTCTAAAGAGCCTATTCTGTTTCACCGAATTCTGAGATGTTGCTGTTCTGCAGCCAGCATGACGTGGGTGAGTAGGGCTTAGAATAATCTTCAAAGGAACAAGTAATAGGTTTATTCCATGCTGGGAAAAAAAGAAGAAAGAAAACACCGCGTTTCGGCCGTGGAGCCTTCTTCGGGTGTATTCGAATAATCTTGTCCAGTACGGAGCGTCCTGGCGGTGACCCGTGTGTGTTCGAGTGTGTCCGTCAAGCGGTGTGGCTCACTGGACTGAGAGTGCTGTGTTGCGTTCCGAACAGAGACGCGATAAACAGCAGCTGGTCGGCGAATCAGGGGGACTCCGCCAGCTCCAGCGACGAGGCCTCCTCTGCCAATGGGGACAGCCTGTTCTCCATGTTCTCTGGGCCGGACCTCGTGGCAGCTGTCAAGCAGAGGAGGTACGAGTACAGAGCAGGGCTCTTTCTAGAAGAAGCACAGCCCTAATGCAGTCTTGCCATGCCTTTTGCTTTTTATCTGGTTAGGCAGGAATTCTGTAAGTAGTAGTTTCTTTTTGTTTTCTATGAAATGTTCGAGTGTTTTAGGGATTTCCAGAAGTGCGTTAAAATCAGTTTCTGGTGCTTGTGCTTTTGACTGTGTGCCAGTGAGACTGTTCTTCAGTCACTGCCCAAGCTCTTCTGCTCTCAGTCTCTTCGTTCGGTCTTACAAGTGAAAACGTCTGTAAGGAATGCTCCCATTTTTGATACATTTACCATTTAGAGATGTAGGAATATTTGACTGTTTTTGATGCCGGCCCTACAGTTTTTTAAAAATAATATCTAGGAAAAAGCAGATGTTGCATAATATTGAGACTACATAGTTAACCTTAAAGTTATGTTTTAACTATCGGTTTGTTTGTTTTGCATTAGGGTGTTTTGTCATTTTTTAAAAATTAGTTAAATCCAATAGGTGCCCTGCGATGGACTAGCGTCCCATCCGGGATGTAACCTGCCTTTGCCCGTTGCTTGCCGGGAGAGTCTCCAGCTCCCCATGACCCTGACCTGGAAGAAGTGTTCAGAAAGTGAATAAATGAAAGAATGAAACTAAAAGGCAGAAGACCTAATATTCAGCTATTTTAGCCTTTATCAAACACAGTTGGCCATCTTTATTAGAGCCTGACCTCTAGGAGAAGTTATCTAAGCGTGAGTTGCAAGAAGGGTTTGTCTGAATGGTGTCCCTGTGTCCTACAGGAAGCACAGCAGTGGAGAGCAGGAGGTGTGCACGCTGCCCTCCCCGCCCCTCCATCACGCTGGCGAAGACAGCAGTCAGGTGCGAAGGCTCACCTCCTGCAGCTAACACCAAACCACATGTCTCTCTTCGAGTACAGGCTAATGAATGTCTCAGCATCTTAAAAAAAAAAAATCAGTTTCTATTGATGAAATTTAATCTTACATCAGAAATGATTTTTACTTTTAAAAGATTAGTGAAACAGATTGAAGGTAAGCGTGATCCAAATTCACATTTAAACCTCAGTGCATTTGATTTAAGACTCATCTCGGACATTATCAGGGGTGAGCTCTGATGCTGCAGGTCTGCCACATGTTTTGAAATTCCCAGCTCTGTGGGAGAACGAGCACAGCGCAAGTGACTGTCAGCATCAGGCCTGCTGCGCTGCTTCTTTCTCATCATCGAAAGTGCAGAAACTCCAGCCTGAACACAGCCTGCGGGTTTCAAACGAGCAGTTTATAAAGAGCTCTCGCTGCCGCCTGTTGGATCCTTTCCTGCCCCACTGATCTAGAACTCGGCGATGTCGTGCTCCAGCTTACCGCCGTCCGCCCTCAGCCCACGTCCGTTTCCGGTGGCGTGCCCGTGTCTGTAGCGTTAATCCTGCGTTTGTCTCTCTTCACCAGGACTGTAAAACAAAAACCTGGCCGCCCAAGGCCCCCTGGCAGCACTCGTCGCCTCACGCCGGCGCGCTGCCAGGCCAGAGCGCGGCGCTGTACCAGATGGCCATCCCCGCCAGCCAGTGGGGCGAGTCTGTGACCATGCTGCAGTCTCCGGTGTGGTCCACCGCCGGCGACTGCCCCGCCCCCTCCGCCATCTCCCCCGGCTTCCCCTACGCCCAGCCGCCGCCGCCGCCAGCCTCCCAGCACAAACCTGGGAGTAAGGGCTTCAAATCCTTCCCCCTCAAGCACGAGCGCAGGCCCTCCTACCTGCACCAGTACTGAGCTCTGGTCACCAAGCTGTCCCCAGCGTGGGAGGTCCTGTCCTGTCCGGGTCCCGTTTCCCTTGTTTTCACGACCTGTAGCTGTGTCTGTCCTGTCTGTCCTGTCTGTCCTGTCTGTCCTGTCTGTCC